AATGGATATTAATTTTTTATATTAAAAATAACGTAAATCAACAACAAACCCTAAATCCCAACAATAATCAATATAGCAGTAAGATATAAAACATACATGTATGCTAATGTTCACATAGGTGACCTATGAGTAATTGGATGATGTCGAGTATTGAAAAATTTGTACATAAACAATAAACAACACACACCAAATCTGTTTACCTATGTTGGCCTCCATTTGGAGGGTACCTACCCATGTCCTCCTCATTTGAGACTCCCATATGCATTCAATATAATCATCTTGATGTATTAAACACATGACGAAATTGTTAGAATATATTATATTGAAAGAATAACCAAAACAATAATTGAAATATTTGATAATCTGCGTCGATTTATGGAGAAAAACTCTCTCCACAAAACGAATATGTCTGGGTAGTACTTCTGGTTCATGACTTAATGTTTTCAAAGATAAAATGATCATTTTGAATAAGGATACACCCCAATGTTTTACAGCACCAACGAACAAAAATGAAGGAAAAAGAATTGTACCGGGAAGGCTAGAAGAAATGAGAGTTGGTAGAAATAGCCCGAGAACTCTTTCATAAAATGTTTATGGAGAGGAGAATTTTGTAGAGAGAGAAATAAAAAAGTCTGATGTATGGTCTAAGGAAGGTGTGAAGAAAAGGCCTTTTATAGGCACCTTCACCCTCAGGGGCTTAATTACCTGATGGAAACCATTGGGAACCTCCTGCCATTAACTTTGGTAACCATGGAAGTTTAATGGCTAATAACTTCCGGCATTGAAATTCATTTCAGACATAAACATTAGTTTTTGAATTTTTGAACTTTGAATAGCGTGATTTCATGCATGCATGCAAGTATGCAATTTGGGCCAACAAAACTTTATTCCTTAGGCTTCGAATTCGAGAAAAAATATTTATCATTTTTTTAAGCCCCACAACCAAATACACTATTAATCCATTTATTCACCAAACCTAAGTTCAAGCCCTACCGCACAACTCCTGTTATGAATTTTAAAGACCGAAAACGAGATTTCATTAACAAAATCGTAATAAACTTTGAACTAGGGCTTGGTTTTTAGGACTACTTAGTGTATGGATACAATATTGATCTCAAAAATGATAATAGACCAAAATTTTATAACAACCCCGACTTCGACGTTTCAGCCAGAGACAACACTCGTGCCCGTGTACTTGTGGTGCATTATCTAGTCTGGGTGGGTGCCACGCGTCTATGGCTTTCCGACATTCAATTAACCAAATAATTGGTTTTAAAACTTTTGAAATTAATTCAAAATTAAATACCATCCATTGGATATATCTTTTATCATATTCTGCTAAAAATATTAATTTTAGAATTTCAAAAAGTATATTTGCATGTAGATATTCATGCTCTTTTGCATGTCCTTGAATTAATAATGAATAATTCTTTTCATTGTATGTTGGAACTTTAATTTTAGCATTCTACCGGCTTATGTCCTTTACTTTGATATTGATTGCATTATTTTTGCTATTTTTTGGCACGTCTCCTTTATGGCAGCAACACAATGGTTGAATTTTTGGAGGTAAACTTCCGAGAATCTTCGTGATTACCTTCTTGCTTTGGATGCTGTCTCTCATGCTATCAATGTGATTGACAAGGTCAACAGCTCTTATAAAACATTTAGTCACATTTTTATTCTCTTTCATCGCCAAGTTGTCGAAGTCCCACAATAGAGATTGAAGGCAAATAGTGATAACTTTATCATTGCCATGACACTCCTCCTTCAATACATCCCAGGCATCTTTTGCCTTCTTTTTATTGAAAATCTATTGATAAATTGTCTTACCCACTCCTTGCTTGATATAGATATAGCGAAGTGCAGTGCGATCCTTTTTCTTATTTTCTTTGTATTGTTTTTGCTGAGCGTTAGTACAGGCTGCAAAGACACCTTTTGCAGGTAGTTCTTCGAATCCATCTGCTACAATATCCCAAAGATCATGTGAAATGAAGAAATCTTGCATGTCACTACTTCAATAATTGTAATAATCGCCTTCAAAGATTTGAACCTCACTCAGGGAATATTTAAACACAGTGAGTACAGTAGAACTTGACATTGTTTTACAGCTTTGATACCAAATTTTTTGGGTAGAAAATATAGTAGAAGGGAATTGCAGAAGAAAATATCATTTGCTGCTGGACTATGCTTTGATGATAAATTCTTTATTCTACGCCAATGAAGTACAGAGTACATCAATATGTATAACTAAGAGACTTTCCATATAAATTCATAGGACTCTTGATCTACAAGGCGTTACTTTTTTGGTTTATTATTATTGAAAGTTCCTTCAACTTAAGGTAATTATCATATTAATTACTTTGAAAATTACAAATTAATGTTACAACAATGAGTACCTAGAGAAGCTGGGGGTGTTATGAAAGTCTGTGCCTTATATGATTTTTGCTATTCTTTATCAATATATATATATATATCCAGATGTGATGTTGTTCATCAATTTTCTTTAAAACATTTGTGGCTCCAACAGATCCTTTCATCCCGTTGATTGGTTTTTCTCCTTTTCCTCATTATGATATAAATTAAAAGTGTTGCCAAGCTGGATGAACAATTGCTCTTGGCAACAATGCGAGAAGCAACAACTGTTGGGGATTATGAAGGATTAAAAGGTTAAGGTATATCAACAATGAGTACTAGGTTGCAATTATGAAATGTCACTAAGTATGTAGGTCCATGAAAATTCTAAATTCTGTACAGATTCAATCAAAGAAAAATACTGAGAAAGGTCCATGAAAATTCTAAATTCTGTAAAAATCCAATCAAAGAAAAATACTGAGAATGTGTAGAAGAAGAGTTTTTCGCACAAGATAGGGTGAAAGTCAGTTACAGCAATAGCTGAGGAGGTACTTAATAATATCTATTTTCTTCGATCAACTATTCGTATGCCTTATCTTAATACTTTTAAGGATTGATGGGAAGTATGAAGTTATTTTGAAGTACTAGAAATTGATATGCAGGCCTTTTTCCTCGCTTATCAGTGTTGGTAAATTGTAGTCCAGATTGTTATGGTGTATGATGAACCTGTTGCCACTGGCGAAATTAGTATTTTCTTCTTATCGTAATGCTTTGTGTCTTTATTAGAGGTCAGAAAAAATTTAATCATGAAAAATATTACAACTGTGAAAATGTATATGTTAAAAATGGATATATGTTTCGTGGAGTTATGAGTGAAAAGTTGTAATTTGTAGAAAAATATACATTGATTAGTCCATAGCAAATGTTTTTATGCATGAAAAGTGGTAACAAACGACATTTTATGTTAAGGGTGCTCATCGTAACAAGTACTATATGAGTAAATTTACTTCAGGTAGATTAAAATCTGTCACAAAAACTTGTGAGTTGTTGCCAAGCTAACCCTTTTTCATTACGAAAGATATGTTGTAACTTGACTATTTGTATCGCGGGTACATGTTACTTAAAAACATCGTAACAAAGTCCAATAAAAAAGCCTTTTAAAATGAGAATTAGCCTTTTTCTGGATGTACAAAAAGTACATTTTCTTACAATGGTCAAATCACTCAAAGACAGAATGTTGGTTTGCGTTCAAACTCTGATCCTTCCACATGTCCTGGTCGTAGAAAGAGGGTGATTACGTAGAAGTAAAAGGAGTTGGCTGGTCGAAAAATAAGTTATGTGCATCTCTTTTTTTAAGAAAACAATTTAGTAAATAATTACAAATCGAAAATCGAAAGAAGACAATTAAAAAATAGAGCAAGCGGGAAAGAAGAAATATAAGAGACCATTGTTGGGATGGAAATGAGTGTAATTCCAATAAATCCTCGTACACATATCCAAATGGGCCAACCTCCCGAAGCGTAGTTATATCACAGTTATGACACCCACTTGTCGATGAAGTAAATGAAAGTATTTCAAAGCAATAAATGAGATGCTATTTGTTTACCCGGTTCGGATATAAACCATCCTACATCCGGGGGATACCAATCCAGGAGGTGTTCATTAATCAGTGCTGATTAATAACAAAACACTCAAACCTCTACCAACCCACGCTACAAATTAATTACCTAGAAAATTCCCTTCAAGGCTTCAGTTGTTACAAACGCGTACTAACAACCGTCATAGCTGGGCTGCACAGAGTTCGAATGCTCCCCTGATCAGAACTCCAGTCTTCCTTTGATTTCCAAGCTTCTCCAACAGAAATACAATGTAAATCACTTACTTAATGCATGGAGGTGGAAGAGAAGTTGTTGAGAGGATAAGCACAATAATTATCTTACTACCCAATCTCTCTAAGATCACACTCTCCACTTCCCAAAACTCTAATACTATGAAACATACTACCACAGCAGCCATAAAATGACATGCATTAAATTCCCTTTGATCTAACCAAGGAATGATGTTGTATCAAATCAGTTCTGATCACAAGAAGACAAATTCGAAATGTCCAATTTGTCTTTGAGCAGCCACCAACGAGAGGGGACACAAGGGCTGCATGATTGGACTTAACCAGCAGGTCCAGAGTTGCTGTTTTTGAAAGCCAACGACCACAGAAGCAAAAAGTGTTTTTGTCACTATGCCAAAAATAGATGTAGAGGTATTGAGATTATCTTAACAATCTCCCCCTTTTTGGCATATGTGACCACACACACAATGCAGGAGATAATCTCCCACACATGTAAATTAACCCAAAATAAAAGCAAGTTAAGGTTAGGTTACATGCCATCAATCCAAAGGAGGCTACATGCAGCCTTTACAGAAATTAAAGTCCAATGCAGCAAAGTCCAAGTTCAGCAATCAAGAGTCTAAAACAGCAACAGGCAGTGAAGAAATCATGACACAGAGATGCAACAAACACAGTTCAAACAGAGCTCCCCCTTTCTTGATGATCCGATGATCCCATTCCTTCCAATAATGCAGCAGCAATCCCCCCTCTCTCCTGCATCTCTCCCCCATGCGTGGACAGATGCCAAAAAAGGCTGGGATGCTTATAGGAAGTCAGGGATTTCCTCCTCCTCATCCGGACCGGAGGCAAACCGAGGATGAAGATGCAGAGCACGAATGATTTTCTTCCTATGTTCAGCTAAGGTGGAGTGAATAGAAGCTTGTTCCTGCAAAACTTCAAGAAGTAACCTTCGGGCTTCCAAGAGCTGGCCGGACGGATCGGCTGGGAGAGGTTCCTTAAAATCGTTGAAAAGCTTGTGCAAGTTCGACCTAGGCTTGAAAAATGTTGTTTGAATTGAATCTTCAGTGGGATCAGGAAGGATCCCATTCTGCTTCAGTAACAGTGTAATGAGGGCCGGATATGGGAGGTTCGTTTTGTCAAATGATTTGCCACGGGCATACTTCATCATTCTGGAGATTACAACAAAGCCGAAATTGATGTCAGCACAAAGTTTGTCAATGCAGAGAAGTAACTTACCCATCTCATATCCAATGTTAGTCCCATTACTGGTGGGAAAAACATTCATTGCACAGAATCGAAACAGACACTGATATTTCATAGTCAGTTCAGTTGCAGCCAGGCCAGCTCGTCCAAAGTCATCTGATTTCCATGCAGATAGTCGAAGTGCCACTTCTCTTCTGGATTCTTTGATCAATGCAGACGGAAACACTTCAGGATTATCAGACGGAAGATGTAGTAACTTGTTGATCACTTGAGGACTGAGTTCAATCATCTTTCCCCGTACATATGCCCTGTGGAACCAAGGACTTTCCTCTTCCAGTACGTCTCGTGTGAGATTGGCATAGAACTCTCGGACAAGCTTCGGGCAATAGGATTTGAGAGAAACTGCCCAACGTCGCAATCCTTTCATCCTCAAGAAAGCGAGGAAGCCAACATCTTTGTGTAGGGGATCGGTAAACCGAGCCTCAGGAACAAATTTCCGATTGGCTAAGATATCGTATTCGAACAACTCTGCTCCATCGTCGAAATGTGTAACGTCCATTGCTTGTTCAGCCGAGACTGGGGGAAGTGTAGCTTTCCTTTTTCGAGATTTTGACTTCTTTTGCTTCAGTTTCATCTTGGCAATCACTACCTTCTTTCTTTTCTTTGAAGGACCAGAGAGGTCATCAGAAATCTTCCTTTTCTTCTTTTGTTTTCCAGAGTGGCGTTTTCTCAGAGTGGCAAGAGGGGCATTGTCCGAGTCGTCAGACTTGGTTGCTGGTTCAACCGGTGCAGGCATCACCACAGCATTTTCACGCTCCATTCATTCAGAAAAAAGTTTGTCAACAGTTCTATCAATGATTGTGTTGAGACTTTCATCAGAAAGAGACAAAGAGAGTTCAGCAGTTGCACCTTCATGAGTAACCGCTGGTTCCTCAGGATGAAAGGGAGAAGTACCCTTTTCGATCCTCTGTTGTTCAGATTCAGTGGCTCCCTCGGAATGTATCATGGTGTCTTCCTCAACATTTCTGGGATCAGCTTCACCAACCTCTTGTTCCTTCCCATCGTCCTCTTTTTCAGCATGATCAGTCGCTTGATCTCCAGGAATATCATCTTGAGTTTCATCAAGGGTTTTCTGCACAAGTTCCTCAGCATCAGCAATGTGATCCTAACTGGTTCGCTGGGAGGTGGAGAAGAACTGATTCGTCCACCACGGCGCCCACGACCTCTGTTTCTTCCACAACCACGTCCTCGAGCAACTGTACTTCCAGACCCTGTTTCCTTTCCAAAGCGAGTTCGCACCATTGTTCTCTCCGAGAGAAAATTGTAGGAAGAAGAGTAAGGATAACTCTCACCACTGTACTCAGCGAAATATGAAATCATGCGAAATGAGGAAGACGAGTGACCTGTTCGAGTTATGTATTCAATGTCCTCTGAAACACCACTTCCCATAAGGCTGTGATGACAGCCAGAGCAGCGACGCAGAACCGTCAAATCATCCCTTTTTGGGTTTTAAATTAAAACCCTTCTCAAAATACCGAAAATATCCTTGATTCAGATATTCTCTTTTCACAAAATGATCCTTCTTCTTTTTGATATTTTCAGAAGGCTATTTTTAATCTCCAATTTTCTCCCAAACAAAATGGAGATGTTTATTTATTTATTTAAGCATGCATCATCAAGGAGGACTTGAGCACATACCCAAATCCCTTCGTAGCTTTTCGAATCGATCAGCATCTAGAGCCTTTGTGAGAATATCAGCCTTTTGATCATTTGTTCCAATGTGCTTTAAATCACATACTCCATTTTCCACCAAGTCTCGAATGAAATGGTACCGTATGTCGATGTGCTTTGTTCTTCCATGTTGAACGGGATTCTTGGAAATATTGATGGCGCTAGTATTGTCACAAAACAGGGTGAATGAGTCTTGAGCAATACCATAATCATGTAGCATTTGTCGAATCCACAACAACTGAGCACAGCAACTTCCAGCAGCTATATATTCAGCTTCGGCAGTGGATAAGGCAATGGAATTTTGCTTCTTCGAACTCCAGCTAACAATGTTATCTCCAATATAAAAGCATCCACCTGTTGTGCTCTTCCTGTCATCACAACAGCCAGCCCAATCTGAATCTGTGAATCCGATGAGATCAAGACCGGACCTGTTGGAATACCACAATCCTAGTTCTGTCGTTCCTTTGACATATCTGAGAATTCTCTTTGCTGCCTTAAGATGTGATTCCTTAGGAGTAGATTGAAATCTTGCACATACACCAACACTGAAGGAGATGTCTGGACGACTTGCAGTCAGGTAGAGAAGACTTCCAATTATGCTTCTATAGAGTTTCTGATCAACTGTTTTTCCATCATCATCTTTCGACAACTTTTCTTGTTGTCCCAAAGGAGTTCTGACTCCTTTTGAATCTCGAAGTCCAAACTTTTCCACCATGTTCTGAGCATACTTGGTTTGACTCAGAAAGATACCATCTGCAAGTTGTTTAACCTGCAATCCGAGAAAGTAATTAAGCTGACCGATCATGCTCATTTCGAATTCGGCTTCCATGAATTTCACAAATTCATTCTTCAAGGATTCTGCAGTCGACCCAAACACAATATCATCAACATACACCTGTGCAATCATCAAATCTTTTCCCTTCAACTTGATAAACATTGTCTTATCAGTTGATCCTCGAACGTATTCTTTCTCCAGCAGATAATTTGACAATCTTTCATACCATGCTCTAGGCGCTTGCTTTAATCCATACAAGGCTTTTCGTAACCTGTAGACATGGTCTGGATGGAAAGGATCCACAAATCCTTTTGGTTGTTCTACATAGATCTCTTCTTTAATCCATCCATTCAAAAATGCTGTCTTGACGTCCATCTGGTAGAGAGTAAAACCCAAGGAACATGCAACAGACACCAGCAATCTCACTGCTTCAATGCGGGCAACAGGAGCAAATGTTTCATCGTAATCAACCCCTTCAATTTGTGTGTACCCTTGTGCAACTAATCTTGCCTTATTTCTGGTAACATTACCTTTTTCATCAGATTTGTTCTTGAAGATCCACTTAGTTCCAATGACATTCACATCAGTTGGTCTTTCAGCCAGATACCATACTCGGTTTCTTGTGAACTGGTTCAACTCATCCTGCATTGCATTGATCCAGTATTCATCCTTGAGGGCCTCGTCTACTGTCTTTGGCTCAACTGTAGAAATAAAACAGTTCATCCCAGATAAATTCTTGAAATCAATCTGTTTCCCTCGAGTCAGTCGACCACCCATTGGATCACCAATAACTGCGTCAATTGGATGATTATGTGAAACTCTTGAACCATGTCTCCTCACTTCAGCATCTGATTCAGTTTCAGCAGGTTGTTGATTGGTTGTTGTTACATCCGTTGAGCACTCAGGTTCTGACCAATCGAATCTTACAGAACTTTCTGCAGGAATGTTGTCACCAGTCTGTGGCAGAACATCTTGGGATTGAGGAATGACTTGAACCTCTGAAGGATTCTGAGTCACCTTAACATCTGGTGCAGTTTCATCATCATCATTTGAGTGAATAGATTTCTTCTCTGAGATGGTATCATCGAATATCACATTCATGGATTCCATCACTTTCTTGGTACGGTTGTTGAATACTCTGTAAGCTCTCGAGTTCAGTGAGTATCCCAAGAATATGCCTTCATCTGATCGAGTATCAAACTTATGAAGTTGATCTCTGTCCTTCATTATATAGCACTTACATCCAAAGGTATGAAAGTAAGAAACATTTGGTTTCTTCCCTGTCCAGATTTCATAGGCTGTCTTCTCTGTATGAGGTCTGAGATACACTCGATTAATCACATAGCAAGCTGTGTTGACAGCTTCTGCCCACAGATATTTGGCAACTCCTTTTGCATGCATGATTGACCTAGCCATTTCTTGTAACGTTCGATTCTTCCTTTCCACTACTCCGTTTTGTTGTGGAGTCTTTGGAGCAGAGAATTCATGCCTGATTCCCAATCCATTGCAAAAACCAGCAAATCTTTGATTTTCAAATTCCTTTCCATGATCTGTTCTCAATCTGTCAATCTTTGACTTCTTCTCATTCATGAGTCTCGTACCCAGTTTCTCAAAGGCATCAAACGCATCACTTTTCTCACGTAAGAAATCGACCCAAGTATATCTCGAAAAATCATCTACACAGACCAAGATATACTTCTTTCCTCCAAGACTGCAAACATCAACTGGACCCATGAGATCCATATGTAACAGCTCCAGACAGTTGCTGCTGAACCGTTGTTCCAATGAGGAATGCACAGCCCTTTTCTGCTTTCCTCTTGCGCAGTCACCACAAGTAGTATTTGAAATCTTTGAAAATTTTGGTAGTCCTCTGACAGCTCCAATTTTGCTAATCCTCAACAAATTCTGAGGATTCACATGACCTAATCTGGTGTGCCACAGCATCGATTCATCATCCTTCAATATCAGTGCTTCCATTTGAGGATATTCCAGTAAGTAACAATTGTTCTTCGAACGAATACCAGTCATCACACATTTTTGTGCAGTGTCATATACTTCACATGAATCCTTGGTGAACTTCACATGTAGATCATCATCGCATAGTTGACTTATACTGATCAGATTTGTGCTCAGCCCTTCTACAAAATAGACTTTTGATAACCTTGGAATTCCTTCTTTTTCAAGAATACCGTAGCCACTGATCTTTCCTTTTGCTCCATCTCCGAAAATGACTTCTCCACTTCGGTCTTCGACAAAATTCTTCAGAATTCCCTTTTGATTAGTCATGTGCCTTGAACAACCACTATCAAAGTACCATCGATCAGCTCTGGTAGACTCTTGACTTGACAAGATCACATTACACTCGAGCTGTTTCTGAGTCTCCTTAGGTATCCATATAAACTTGACCTTAATGTTCTGTTTCAGCTCTTCAGTAGGCCATTGAATCCGTCTTCCATTGATGACATCTTTTGCCAGCTTCAAGCACTTCACAGCCGAATGACCTGGATACATGCAGTACTTACAGTCAGTAGGTTGTGACAGTTTTGTCTTCTCACTCAGAGTTTCTCTGTGATTTTTGTTTCTGATTTTGCTTCTTTTCTTTCTTGAATTCTGTTTCCAGTCTTGAGTTGATTTCTTTTCTGGAAGTTTGACATCAGTAAGCAGACCACCTCGCACAAATGTAGTTGGTCTACTTTGAGAGGATTCACAGAAGCCTAATCCTTTGTGATCACCAAACGGTTTACCAATTGAGAGGACTTCATCCAATTTATCCTTCCCTTTCCGAAGTCTATCATTTTCATTCTTCAACTTCAGATTATCCGACTTCAATTCCTTTGATTCAGTAGATTTATCTTCAATGATCTTTGTCAACTTCTCAAGTTCATCTTCAAGTTTCTCCTTTTGAGCTTCCAAACGATAAATGGTATCCAAAAGTTCTTTATTTTTTACAACAGCTTTCTTTTGCTCGGCAACCATTTCCTCATAAGCCTCAATCAACTCATCAGTATCCAGTTCTCTTGACTCATCAGTAGTTTTAGAACTGGATTCTGTCTTTTCATCACTGGAGTCATCATCATCTGCCATGAATGCAACAACTTCATGATTCTCAGTCTGTTCATCACCATCAGCAGATTCACCATCTTCATTGTCACTCCAGGTAGCTTGATATGCCCTTTTCTCCCTTTTCTTAACTGTTGGGCACTCAGATTTAATATGTCCAACACCACCACATCCATAACAGGTAGGTTCTTGAACCGTCTCAGGTTTTGCAGACACTACAAACTTCTTCTTAAATCCACCATCAAATCTTTCTT